CCAGAGCTTTGCTGATTAGGCACAGAGCTGACAACTCCTTTTCCTCCAGAGCACCTCACTATGCAGGAGAGTCCTCCAAAAATCCCTCCCTAGTCCTCAGTTTTCTAGTAATTTTTATCTTGCCCTGAAAACATATGTGACAACACAGTTAAAATCAGAATGTTCTGTTGGAATCAGTGTCTAAGGACACTGCACACAAGGACATGTGCCAGCCACCCCCTGTCAAGGCAGAGGAACAGCTACAATAGCAAAAGTGATCCTCACTGTGGATCCTCTCCTGGACTAATTTCCCCCAATGTGGCACCAAACCAGAAGTGGTGGCACTGCTCTGACTGACAGATGAGATCCAGCTGATGGACCAGGAGAACAAAGACTGCCTGACTCGGTTTCCCTCCATCTGTGTTTAGAGATGGAAGGATGCTCCCCAAATCCCTGAACAGCCTGATCCCTGCAGCCTCACCCTCACTTCTGGGCACTGAACCTGTGCATCTTTCATTTGTGCTCAGGAAAAACAGTTCAGGTCTTTGATTCCCATCGGGAATCCAGTGGGGACGAGCTGGGGCTCATCCCAACGCCAACGACAGAGGGAAGCTCTTCCAGCTTCCACTAGGATGCAGTGCCAAAAGCTGCTGGTGTGTGCACATGGAGGTTCCTTCTGCTCATAGCCCTGTTCTATTGAAATCATTCAGGTCTCATTTATCCTGAGCTCTACAACTCACAAATGGTGGTGCCATTCCCTGAGAAGGAGGAGAGAAGACAATTGTGTCTGGTCTCACACGCCCCTGGTCAGAAGAATTTGATGGTTACTGTTGTAACCACTGAAATCACCACAAAGAACTGCTGTTCCCACTTTGCTGTGCTGTCAGGAAGATCCTGAGAAAGCTCCAATTTTCAGTGGATTTTACAATGTACTTATTTTGGAAGGGACAGCATCAGAAATACCCCCCAGCTCCTTGTTCTCTTCACCTCCCCTGTTCCCTCCTGCCTTCCAATTTCTAGCCCATCTGTGAAATCAGGATGCTGGGAGAGGAATGAGGTACCTGGGGAGGCAAAGGGTTCTTTGCCATGGACTGGAGCCCTCAGCATCATGGCTGGATCAAAACCCTTTCTGAAGGACTAGTTCCAGGTCCAAGTCTAAATCCCAGGCTTGATGCCCTAATCCCTACATGAAAGGGTTATGTGAAGGGTCAGAATAGGTGGTGATAAAGTTCCCTTCCAGCCAAAACAATCTTGGAATCTCCAAGGAAATCCACCATCCTCTGGCAAGAGCCAGGACCAGACTTTCCAAAGGGTAACAATGCCTGGCTCCAGACTCACCAGGGCAGTGCCAGTGAAGAGCTATGAAATCATCTCTTCTGCTTGGGAGGTTCAACAGGCCACGCTGGCATTGCCTGTGAGCCACAGACCACAGGCCTTGGAATGCTGGGAACAAAACCAGGGCAGATACGCTCAGAAAGGCTTTTAAAGTTAATGTTGCTCTGCTAAAAAGGAAGAGGGGGGGGAAAAAAACCCCCGAAACCAACTAAAGGCGCTTCACGTGGCTTTTCAGCACGGCAAAAGTCAGTTTGGAGCTTTCCTCTGAACGTGCTGGAAGGGGTTTGTGCAACCCAGCTGGCTCAGCAGGGCCGAGGTGGGAATGGCAGGAGCTGCTGCAAGTCAGGACTCAGGTACCCGACAGGAGAGCAGCAGCTTCAGCGGGAAGGGGAGCAGGCCGGGATTAATGAGGGAAACTCAGACAGTGTCTGTCTGTAGGAGGCCTGGCTCAATTCAAGGCCATTAACTTGTTGCTTTCTGAACACCACCAAGAGCACTGGAAACAAAAGCACGTCTGCCCAGCAAGGGCCCTGCTGAGTGATTGCTTAAATACTCCAGCAGAATGAAGAGCATTAAGAAAGGCAAAGAGCCACTTCAGTGGCTCCAGGCTCGCAGCACTGCAAGTTTTTGCATGAAGCCCAAGTCAAAGCCAGGCAGGCAACTGGGAGGTAGCCTTGAAAGTAGAAACAAATAAATTACTAGCCTTCATTTTCTCCCATTCTGGAGTTTAAATTTAAAGGGGAGGTCCATCAACTTTACATAAATCATGTTTATAATTAAAAACATATTTTCCTGCGCTGCTTACAAGCCTTTGGATGATTAATAAGGCATTTTTCACATTATTTTAATTCGCACTAATTATGCTGCTTGTTTACCCCAGTCAATTTTTCTTCCGGGGAGATAAAGCCATCCTGGGACGAGACCTCCCTCCAGAGACCAAGAGGGAAAGGACCCCAGGGAGCTGCCTGAGGCCCCAGGAACACATGGGAGGTCTGTCACCGAGCTGGGACATGAGTCACGTCACGTCCAACGCTCACAGGACTCTTGCTAAGCCTGACTCTGAGCCTGGGTAAGCTGAGGAGACTTGAGCTTGCTCAGCTGCTGCCAGAGGCCTTGAGCTGTGCTTTGCCTAGACCTTGCCTGAGGTGCCAGCCTTGCCAGGGAACCAGACTTGGGAAGTTTAGCATGAAAACACAGCAGTGACTGCACAGCTCCTGGGCTGGGTCGGGTTTGTGCCCGGCAGAAGCCAAAGGAGCTTTGGAAGAGCAAAGCTTTATCTCCTCCTCTTTCATTTGCAGGTGCTGGAAAGGCTCTTGGCCCTTTAGGAAATGCAGGACAACCGACTGACCAAGAATTCTCTTCCCTTTCAACACTATTGAACAGAGTTAGATACATAAAAAAGCAACGGTGCATTCCCACTGCAGCCTTCGTGGTGTGAGTGGATTCCCTGGGTCACCTTTCCCAGGAAGGGCTGAAAAGTCCCACCTAGAAGCCTTCAGGTAGCAGACAAAGCAATACCTGCAGGGTGACACAGGAGTCAGGAACTCATCATGCAGCAGGAAGCATTGCTCCAGCCCCTTCCAGTGCTTCCCAAAGCAGGGTGTTCTGGTCCATCTCTCCAGTGCTCCTGCAGACTCTCCAAAGGCACAAATGACATTTCCTCAGCTTTTTACCCTTTCTCCTCTGGTTCAAGACAGCAGTTATTTCATAACCTCCATGTCTCCAGAGCTGGCAGTTACTCTTAGGCAACTGCAGGCTCCAAACACAAGTGTCTGGCTGACAAAACACACAGGAACTGCTCTTCAGCCAGTGCTGCACAACCAACACGTTGTTATTTCATGAACTAAAACAAGGTAGGAGATACCAGCCAAGGCTTTCTCTTCTTCAGAGCTGAGAGCAGGCACTAGTGAGACTCAAGGTAGCAGTAAAGAAAACTATAGTTACCTGTTGGTGGCCCTAATCCTTCAGATCAGGTGCTCTGTGCAAGCCTGATTTATATTAATCAAACCAGCACTGAAAAGCATGACCACAAAATTTATTCTAATACCTGTTGTACCACACCCTAAAAATAACAAAAGAAAACAGGCTGAGATAAAAGATATTTGCTGTCAAAGGTGGGGAAATACCTCCACAAAGCCACAATGTTGGCTTCCTCTAAGGAATTAAACAAGAGTGCAGAAATTAAATATTCTGCAGATTCTGGATCAAAGACAAGTGTCTTGTCTGCTTGGGTTTGGCACATCACCATGACAGGGCAGTTTGTGACCAGCAGAAAAAGCAGGTAATTATTTATAAACCCTGGTCCCATGGGCTGCTTCTGATATGCTGCACTCTGAAGGTGCCCCCAAACTGGCATCAGCCCTAAATCTTTGAAAACCTGAATCCTGCCTGACAGGAATTTCCAGCAGCTGAGCTGTGGTGTGCTGGTTCCCTGGGTGGACACCCCTGTGGACAGTGAGGGCAAAGCAGCAGCATCTCCTTTCTCCACAGGTGATCTGCACACCTCGGGGCATCCAGGGGCAGCTGGCACAGAGAAACTCTCACAGTGTCAGCTCCTGCCCTCAGATCAATGTGTTTGAACTTGTGGATTGGCACAAACCTGAATGAGCAGAAGAGAGTTGCATGAGATAAGCTGGCCAAGGGATTCAGAGCAGTGACCAGCTGCAGAGAAGAGCAGATTTAGTGCCTTTGTATGTTCTCTGTTCACGAGACATGAGCACACAAGACAGAGGTGAGGTCACAGCTCTCCTGTTTCATGTGGAAATCCAGAGTATGAGTGACTTGCTACTCATCTTGCTCAGCTGCTGGAAGACACCAGGACCACTTCTTCAGTTGTTAAAACCGTAAATAATTTTAAAAACTCAGACCCAGGGCTCCATCCTCAGCCCAGTTCTCTTCAACATCTTCATTAATGACTTGGATGCTGGACTTTGAAGGAACACTTCAGTTTGCTGATGATACTAAACTGGGAGGAGCAGTTGATTCCCTCAAAGGCAGGGAGGCCTTGCAGAGAGACCTCCACGAATTGTGGGGCTGGGAATCACCAACCATGGGAATTCCAACAAGGGGAGGTGCTGGATTCTGCCCTTGGGATGGGGCAACCCAGGATGGATGGACAGACTGGGAATGAGAGGCTGGAAAAGCAGAGCTGGGAAAGGGCCCTGGGGGTCCTGGTGGTGCCAGTTGGCCCTGAGTCAGCAGTGCCCTGGCAGCCAGGAGGGCCATCCCTGTCCTGGGGGAATCAGGGAGGGGATTGTCCTGCTCTGCTCTGCCCTGGGGTGGCCTCACCTCAACATTGGGGCAGTTTTTGGGGACACAATATAAAAAAAAGACATTAAGCCATTAGAGAGTCCAAAGGAGGCCATGAGGATGGGGAAGGGTTGGAGGGGAAGCCTTATGAGGAGGCTGAGGGCACTTGGTTTGTTCAGCCTGGAGAAAAGGAGACTGAGGGGAGACCTCACTGGGGTCTGCGCTTCCTCACGAGGGGCAGTGGAGGGGCAGGTACCAATCTCTGCTCTCTGTGACCAGTGACAGGACTTGAGAGAATGGCTGGAGCTGTACAGGGGAGGGTCAGGTTGGATCTCAGGGAAAGCTTCTTCCCCCAGAGGGTGGTTGGCACTGAACAGGCTCCCCAGGGCAGTGGGCACAGCACCAGGGCTGTCTGAGTTCAAGGAGCATTTGGACAACACTTTCAGGCACGTGGTGGGATTCTTGGGGCGTCTTGTGCAGGGCCAGGAGTTGGACTCAATGATCTTGATGGCTCCCTTCCAACTCAGTATATTTGATGCCACCTAAAAGACCCCTCGGGCCACTCTCAGGGCGTTCATCCTTGGCAGAGCTCACTCGCAGTGACGCCAGGCACTGTCCGAGGCACTGAGGTGTCCTGGGTGTGCAGGACTCCATCAAACCACGTCTCACCAGGAGGAGACACTCCCTGGGCACGGAGAGGCTCCAGCCCCACAGCCCAGGCCGTGCCTCAGGCCCGGGGGGTGCCGGGTTTGCGGTACTTGCACTGGATCCACACCCGGTACATCGTCATCTGCTTCCCACGGTTCACCTGCAGCCGCCGGTCCACCACGTTCTGGATCTTCTCCAGCCCAGCCGTGGTGAAGAGGTGGTTTAATTCATCTGGAAGCAGAGAGAAGGACACTGAGGAGGCCGTAATTCCTTTAACTGACAGCTGCTCACGCTGAGGGCTGGGCTGTGCTGAAAGATGGGCCAGAAGAAACTCAGGGCCTCACCCTGGCAGGGAAATGATCGAACGAGACTTAACTGCTGTTCCAGGGGGGTTTAACATCACAGTTTGTCAAGTTTTCCTTCTAGCAAGGAAGGAAAGAAGAATTTGGAGAACAGCTAGAGTTATAGAAACTTGACAAAGAAAACAGCAGCAGTTTCCCACATGGGCACTGCCTCCAGTGACTGATTAAGGAGCATCTTCTGACAAGTAGGGACAGATCCATTCCTTCCCCTTTCCCCCCCCTCCAGAGGAATTTCAGAGTCTGCAAGAGCAAAGAACAGGATCAGACCTACGCCTTTAAATGGTGGCAGTAAGATCTGTATAGGCTGGAGGGGAATGGGATTCATTAAGGCTAAATTTGGGGAAAAAAACATCCTTAAAACCCACACCCTGTTGGGGCCCAATCAAAGCATTAACAGCCCTGGAGGCTTCAGCACTTCCACGGGCAGGTATTCCTGACCAAGCAAATAAGTCTCAGAGTGCCCCAGCACAGTGGCTGTGGGCAGAGCCAGCCCCAGTCCTGCTGAGCAGCAGAGAGCTCGTTCCACGGCAGCCCAGGAGCACGTGGTTTGTGTGGAGTTTCTGTAGGAAAGGGCTGACAGGTCCCAGCTTGTGCTCCTTTATCAGATGCTTTCCATCGTGAGGTGCTTGCCAAACACACATTAAACATTAATTTTGTTGCGACAAACGAGACTGGAGCAGTGGGGAAGGGAACAGTTCGATGCAGTTGTGCCCCTGCTCGAACGCTGACCAGGCACTGACTGGAGGTGCAACTGGTGATAAACTGGGAGAAGAACACAGCCCTGCCAACACCAAGCAGCAGCAGAACTTGAAGGGTGCCTCAGCTCCATGCTGAGCCACACCCTTCTGATTTCCTCATAGGAGAACAGAAATATTAAGGGAAGTTCCTCCAGGCGGTGTCCAACTCCCTCCATCACCCGCAGGCAAGATTCAAGGAGAGCTCTTCCAATCCCACCCCTCCCAGGGGAGCAAACACTCCAGTTTTTCTCTAAAAGGATTTTCCACTAAGGAATTCACCATACTTGCTCCAGGAACTGACAAACCCAGGTTCAGTTAGGAGACACTTAACAGTGCTCCAAGAAAGACAGACTGGAAAGAGCTTGTGGCCAAACTTGAGGGCAGAGGGACAAGAAGCGGTGAGGAAAGTCAGAGGGATGTTTTTGGATTGTCAGAGGGATGTTTTTGGATAGTCAGAGGGATGTTTTTGGATAGTCAAAGGGATGTTTTCAAGCCTCCTACCTTGTGTGAAGAAGTAGACTCTGGTGCCATCACCTCTCACATAGAAGTTTTCAGACAGACATTGACCTGAGGGCAAGAGGGATTTAAACAGTTACCAACTATCACTTAAAAATCAACAACCGCCATCCCACAACGGGCACACTCTGTGCTTCCAGGGAATTAATGAGCTGCCTCCACCCAGGGCAGACACAGCTCCAGAGAAGCATCATCTACCAGTGATTTGCCAAGGGAAGAGGGCAAATACCTTTCTTAAACCGAAGCTGGGCCAGGTCGTAGCGTCCGTAATCCCGTAACAAAATCATCCCCCCTGGCTTCAGGAGGCGGCTCAGTCTGCTCACAACGCTCTGCATCCTGAGGGAGGAACAAACCAGGAGTGCTCAACATCCTGCAAAATCATGCTTGTTCCCTTCCAAAAAGATGGGATGAAGTTTCAACTTGATATATGGGTATAGATGTTTCAACTTGATGTAAAGAGCCCCCGAAGCCAGCACGGTTCTGAGCTCTCCCAGTCTCAAGTGGGTGGATTTGATTTGGCCTCTTTATTTCTGACACTCCCTGATTCTGGGGTATTTTTTTTCCTACAAGGATAACAAGTCTGCCACGGCAGGGATTAACTGCTCTCCTTTACTGATCACAAAAAGATCGCCCCTGGTTTATGTATAAAAAAGTAGTAAGTGGACTTGAAGAAAAATGCTGTGTAATAAAACTGAAGGGAACAAAAAGAGAGACTAATATAGGTTGTAACACAGTGTCACACTAAGATCACAGCACTTGTCTTAACTGTTTTCTCAACCTGTCCCCTCCCTTCTTGCCACCTCCCATGTGAGAAATTCATCCACCCTTTGAGCCTGAAAATCCAGCAGAGTATTTTCCAAACAGGTGCTGAGCGCTCAGCATGGCTGAGGTTCAGGGCAGTGACCACAGCAAGGCACCCCCTGCAGCCACTTAGCACTTCAAAATCACACCTGTCCTCTGCCAGAACCTGTTACAGCATCAAGCACCTGCTTGTAAACTCTGTAAACTTCATTTACAGAGGCTTCATGGAAAACTGGACCAGAAACACAACAAACTTTAATTTTACTTGACATGAGACTATTAAAGAGCTGCAGTTGTAGAAGAATTACCTTCTGCAATCACAAAGATTAAAACTTACTTCTCTGGGAGAATTGCTGAGAGGACAAAGATAAGAATAACAATGTCAAGACTCTCCTCTGGCATTGGGAAAGGACTTTGGTCGTTGCACAGGTCATGGACAAAGGCAAAGCAGCGAGAGGAATCATATTCTGCATTGTTCTGTATTTGAGGGGAGAGAAATCAAGAGCATCAGTAGCAGACCCTGACCTCAGTATTATCTGGACATGGAGCATTTTAACTTTCACATCATCAAGTGGTGTGTCCAGAGATCTGTGTCAGCCTCACTGCTCTAAGGCAGATGGGGTCAGGTGGGTTAGGCAGGAACAGTGGTGACACGGGAAAAAAATAAGTACACACAGGAGATTTACCAAGAAGTTAGTTTTGTTACAGTCAGACAATCAGCACTGCCAAACCCCCAAACTGGATTCAGGCTTTATTGCAATTTTAAGGTCAGATTTTCCACTAGTAGTGGTAAGAAGTGAGGGATTTATATTGTTAAATTGGAAATCCTTACGTAAGTGTGAGCATCAGGGCCCCTCTCTGCATCACTGACATCAATATTCATTTCACCTACCAGCAGATATTCCTTATCCCCCAAAAATCAAACCTGGCTCCCCAAAACTGCACTCTCAAAAATCCCATTTGGACCTCTGTAAGAAGTTGTGTGCTTTCCTGAAGCTGCTGCTTTGAGAAGTGGTTGTGTCACCTTAGGAGGATGAAATGGGTGCTGCCTCTGCTGCTCTCTCATCTCGTGAACTGATGGCATTTGATACTTCCTAGATTCTCAGTTCTGCTCTGACCTGAAATCTGTTAGCAGCTTTTGTCCTTTGACTAAATCCCAGCCTCCTGCTCCACAAACAGGCTCCCTCCTCAGCAGTCTGTGCTGGAGCAATCAGACCACATTCCCAGAACTGACAGCAGTGCACACACAAACCAAAACCAGCTTCAGTTCCTGTTAAAAAATAGCCTGAATGTTTTCAAGGTTCAGCAGTTACTCAGCTAAAAGAGCACTGGATTGAGAAAAGTACTGCCAAGCACAGGGGAAGAAAATCTGCCTGACTTGTCTGCTGCCAATGTGACATTTTGAGAACTTCAACTTCTCTCCTTCCTACAATCTTTGATGGCTCATTTTCCAGATTCAGGGTCAGCAGCAGGGCTGGCTAAAAACAGAAAGCTGCCAGCACAGCCAGAGAGCTGCTGGAAACTGGGAGAGATTTGTGTTAATGGGAAATTGGCCCCAGGTACTTCCCACTTTTTTATAAATCACCACTGAGTTTACCTGGACAAGATCCACAGCTGTTGTAGAAAAATCACAGCAATAAACAAACAGGCCTGGGTCACTGCAAGAAAGCAGAGAAACTCATCATTTATAGCCAGCAATTAAGGAGTGTCTCAAAGGCACAGGGTGCAGAACTGGGAGCCTGGGCTTTAGTCTCTGTGTAAAAATTTGGTGGATCCCATTGTTCCTTTATGCCCACTGTGCAACTGCTTCCTTTTCCTTCTGGAAACAGCAAATGGGAGACAGCAAATGTGAATGTCGGGTGTATATTTACAGTGAGTCACGTTTTTTTCACTGAATCTACTTTAATAATAGACCCTTAGATTATTATTACACTTTCCTTTGCATTAAAGGAGAGACATGTGAAAAACGTGGCAAGTTTAATGTAAATTATTCCTGGAGAGATGGAACGTTTTGGAAAACACATTGAAAAATGACTCAAGGGTATCACAGAAATAGAAATGTGACTGCCAGCAGAAATCACTCCCATGTTAACATCTGCAAATCAATACTGGAAAAGGAGAGGCACCAAGGCCTGCAGGAAAATGCTTTCAGAATGAGACATAAACTCACAGCAGGCTTTGTTGGTTGCATTAAAAGACCAAAGATTTCCAAGCTCAGACCACAATAATATGAAGTTGCAGGTGGCAAAGGCCTTTCTCTGAGATTGTTTAAACTAAGATCACAGAGAACACTTTTCCAATTGGTTTTTAGGGGCTGCTGGATCATGCAGGTGAAAACCTACTTCGTAGAATCCCAGAGTGGTTTGGGTTGGAAGGGACCTTAAAGCCCATCCAGTGCCACCCCCTGCCATGGGCAGGGACACCTTCCACCAGCCCAGGTTGCTCCAAGCCCTGTCCAACCTGGCCTTGGACACTTCCAGGGATCCAGGGGCAGCCACAGCTTCCCTGGGCAACCTGTGCCAGGGCCTCCCCACCCTCCCAGGGAAGAATTTCTTCCCAATATCCCATCTATCCCTGCCCTCTGGCAGTGGGAAGCCATTTCCCCTTGTCCTGTCACCACTTACTTGTTGGTTTGTAAAATTGGGAAGACTGTATTCCCAGCCCCACAGCCAACCTGCACAAACAAAGCAGATGCACACAGTGAGAATAATTCCTTCAGCACATCCCAAAATTTCAAATCCTCTCTCTACAGCCAGGCAACAAAGAGAACCTCCCCAGTACCAGCTGAGCATGGCAGTGACCATTTGTAACCCTCCCTGCAAAGTCTGTGTTCAGCTCTGAGGAGCAGAACGACTCTTGTGGAGAACACTAAGCAAGTTCTTGTCAAAATCTTACTAACAAACTACATATTGTTACTCTCTAAAAGCTGTTTTTGCTGGAAGCCCAAGCATAACAACCAGTCTGAGTCACTGAAACACTGGCAAAGGCCAGGGGTGGGTTACCTTTGCTTCCACAGAAATTCAGAGCAATGGAGAAGGGAAGTTTGCTTTACCCTAATTACATCCTGCTGTTGCAGAGTTTCCTTCACTACATGGCTCTTCCTTAAGTTACAGCCAGGCCCACAATGATTCTGCCTTATTATTCCTTCTACTTGTTCCCATTTGAAGAGAAGATGATGGCTCCCACAACTGGATTTGGGGAATTTGCCTCTGAGTGTTTAGGGAATCAGTAAAATTGGAATGGACTGAGCAGAGAACACCACTGAGGGTTTGCAGGGACAGATGTGCTCAGGTGAGACAGGAAAGCCACAGTGATAATATCAAAGTCTGAAAAAGCCTCCAAACCTCAGATTAAATTAAAATATCAAAAGGACAGTTCAAACTGACTCTCCCTGGAAGGGCAGGACTTCCATTAAATACAAAGTACTAAACAAATCCAGCAGTATCTACAGTGAACATGGAGAGGTGGCAGAGCAAAAGGTCACAACCAGCTGTCAGGAGTCCAGTATTTATAATTCCCACAGACTTCTCTCTGGGACAAAGCCTGTATCAGTCTGGGATTCCCTGTTATCACATGGGCCATAAGGAACAAACCCAAGAGCATCTTTACAGTCTTGGCTTCACTGCTTTGTTTCACACCTCTCAAGGCAAACAGGAGTCAGCACAAAAGATAAATGACAAGGGAAAACCTTATACAGACAAGTAAAAGAATCAGTTCCTTGCAAAGATGACTTGTAAATGCTTGTTTGAACATCTGACAGCAGTAGTTTGGCTTTTAAACTCTGAAACTTCTTACATCCTTGTGCTCTGCCAACTCAAGAGTCTGAACCAAAAGTATCCCAGCAGATTTAGTTCAGTTCTAAGCTGCCCTCTGATTTCTGCATTCTGCTGACTGAAGGCACTCAACCACTCCCTGTTTGCCAGTGATCCATGTTTTTATGTCCCAGTCACACAACCCTGATCCCAAGGCACAGTTTGGTGTGTGACTCTGCTTTCCAGCTCTCACCTCCAACACACGGTAAGATGCAGCTGATCCTGGGTAATCTCCAGCCCTCTGGGTCAGCTCCCTGTGCTCCTGTGCAGCCAAGTCCTCTGTGCACACCTCAGCTGTGCTTTGGAGCAGGTTGAACTGACCCTCTGTCCTGGTTTCCAAAGAACAGTGTCCATTTTCACACCTTCCCAGCCCGTCACTGTTGGATTCTTCTTTGGTACTGAATTCATGCAGAGAATCCCCATTTTGGCTTGAGGTCCTGTTGGGTGCCAGCTCAGGAAATTCAGTGAACAGCCAGTGCCTGTCCTTGAAGAAGCCATTTTCGTGGATTTTATAGAAGTCATCCCAATATCTCTTAGCATTCACCTCATATTCCTCTGGGAACACAAACAAAAACATCATCAGGTCTCAGGGTTGAAGCAGGTCAGACAGTGAGGGATGACTGCAGACACCTATGCAGCAACCTGCTCTAATAAGGAAGATTATCCACTGAAAATCACCTTTATTTAAATTTGCCATCCCACACAAACACTCAGGTTGCCTCCTCACAGTCACTTTGTTAGGACATGAAAAGGGAAAAGAGAGAGAAGAGGAAACTCTGTGTGTGCTGGTAGGATTTAAAGGAAGCTGGCAACAGAAAAAGCCTCTTTGAAGGACACTGGAATGAAGAAATCCAGGTTTTACTTCCATTTCTAGCACTGACTTGGTCAGTTCACTGGAAAAATTCATTTGGAGCCTCATGACACTGAGTGTGAAGCACATACAACTCCTAAGGAATTCTGAGAGCCCCTTTTTTTCAGATGGAGGAGCAGAATAATTATCCAACCCCACAGGCCTGGCAGAAAGCTCAATTAGCATTTGCACATTCCTCCCAGATTCCAGCATGTTTTCCACAAGTTTTGCTGCAGTCCAGTCTGGGGCACTTTGTTTTCCATAGTTCTGTGCTTTTATGAATTAAAACAACAGAAGTGACCACTGAAGTAACAGTGGAGAGCTAAGGTGGACATGCTAAAGATGATCAGAAGGAACTTCAGCAGCAGCATTTTCACACCAAGTGGATCATTCCAGGAGCAGGATGAGTATTACAGGGAGCTGGAATAACACTGGCCTAATGAAATTCCAGTCACCTGCAGAATTATTTCCACACATTTCCCAGATTTCAGACCGAGTGCAGTTCTAGGGGAACTATTTCTTCCATGGGGAGTTAAAAATCCAAGTAGCTTTCTGAATCCTCAGTGTGATGAGTCTTCTGTCCTGGGAATTAAGGACCTAATTACAGCATTTTATGCTTGGAATCACCTGGAAACATCCATGGCCAGAAATCCCAACTGCATTCCAATAACATGAAATTCCTCAACCATCTCTGCACAGCAACAAGTCCATTACTGAAAAAAGCTGATTGGAGAGCAGTATTTCAGTATCATTGCCTGAACTGCAGTTTATTTATTAAGACTTTTAAAAGCATAAAACTGTTCAGAAGATCTCTGAAGGGAGACAGTCAAGTGAACCCAGAACACCTGGAAAAATATGTAGCCTCAGCCAAATATAGACAAAAATGGCTTTAACAAAGAAGCACAAGTCAGTCATATATCTATTTTTAGTAGGATCTATCCCTGCAGCACAAAGAGCTATATATAAAAATAATCTCTTTACCTCAACTACAAGGATTTTCTCCTTTTAAGAAGCCCTGTCCTCAAACTCCAATCCAAAAGAAATTTTAATGTCTGATATCAGAGCAGGGCAGTGAGTTTGTGCCATGATCCCACTGTAGGTCACAGTGGGCAGGGCCAGGTCAGTGCAGTATTTTCATGGAAGAGCTCCAGGACTGCTGATGCTGGAAGAAGTGTTATTGATCCACAGTCTGGCACACTCCTTCCTGAATTGTCATGTATTAGTAGGGATACACGAGGCTGCTGGGGCTGGAAATGCTCTTTCACCTCACAAAACCACAAAGTCCTGATCCCTGCCCGTCCCTGACAATCCCATGGCAGCCTGACTGGAATGGGATGCTTATCTGAGGTGCTGGGACAAAATTCCAGCCCAGCCAGTTTGGATTACCCAGTTTGGATTACCCACATTTTTGCCACAAGACTTTGTGCTCTTTCTGTGTTAAATTACTGTGGAATTCTGTTGGATGCTGTTGAACAGCTGCTACACCCCAAGCCACACGAGGGGAAGCTTTATTTAAAGCTCATTTATTCAGAGCCTGGTGTTTTCAAAGCACCAGAATAAAGGATCAGTAACAATTTAAATGCAAGAAATCAAGGGCTGGCTGACAAATATCATGCAAGGAACAGGCTGAAAGCAAATAAACGACCATATTAATTTTTTAGGCTGACTTTCAGCCAGAAGAGTTCCCATCACATTTGTTTCAGCCCCTTTTTGTGGTATGATCTCATGGGGACGTTGGGGTGGGAGCCAGATTCCTCCAAAGACCTTCCTGACAAGGGCTCCTGACTTTCCTGCTTGTCTTTGTAAAGCCCTTCACCCTGCAGAAGGAGGGCAAACAAAAGGAACTGTTCACAAAGGACAGGAAGAGAACCCGTTCTCCCCCCTGAATTTCACAGGGGCTAATGATGGAGCCTCAAAAAGAAACCAAGGAACTCTTCCACTTCTTTCTTTGCTCCCAGCCAGGAGACACATCCTCCACACAGCCCACAGAACTCCTCTGCTCCTTCAGAACAGATCCTGACAGCCCCAAGAAGTGCACAGAATAATACAGCCCTAATGACCAATAGCCTGCCTTTGTTCTCCTGCTTGGACATTCTGATTCTCAAACTCCCAGACCCTTCAGGCACATTTTCCTGGGCTGCCTTCCCTACTTTTCAGCCATCCCATTGTCTCCACACGCTTCCCAGTGAATAGCAACCATCAACATTTGACTGGCCTGCATTGTTCAGGCTGGGAAATACATCATGGAGCCCTGACAAAGTGCCCCAACAGCAAATTGCTCCCCAGTTTCCTGGTTGTATATAGGTTCCCAAAGCATGACAGACAGCACCCTTTAATGCTAACCAGATTTGAAACTGAACCCAACACAATGGGCATCACAATGGGAACTGCTGGATACTTCTGGGAGTCCAAGAAATGAGGAGGGTTGTTCTTTGGGATAATTAGATTTGCTATTGTGAGCACAACTGGGAGCTATATGGAAGTGTCTCAATAGCTCCAGTAGTGCTGAGCTTTATCTTAAGGGTGACACACTCCATTTGATGGCAACAAAGGGAGCAGATCCATCCTAGATCATCATCAGATAAGTTTCTTATCACACCAAAGAACCATTTCAGCATCATTTGAGGGACTGGGTGGTCTCTGACAGAGTGGAGAGTGACAGAGCTGTGAACCTTGAGCTTGATTCAGACACAGGTAAGCTCCACATTTTGGATGTGTAAATATCCCTTGAGCCAAGTAAAAGAAAAATTTGGGAATCCCTTTGCTGTCTATCTGATGATAAGCACTTTCAGGAGAAAATAATTTTTTTCTGACTCTATGATTTAATCATTCTCATGCTGCTTGTTAACTCTGTAGAGACAGATTTGGACACTACTTTATCAGCCCCTCTTAAGGAGAAGAACTGAGCTTGAATTAGAATCACTCCACAACAAAGAGAGACTGACTGTTGGAAGTTAATAGAAAGCACAATAACTCTACACTCAAAGAGGTTTGTTGACAAGGAACAGTAACAAGTATTTAAACACACACAACACCACAAAGCTCAACCCAAGCTGACTCCTCCCAACCAAGACCCCGCCTGTTCCAGCAGGATGAGCCTCTGGAGAAGGTGGAGGAGTCACAGAGAGGTAATTTAAGAACAGGAAGGTTCCTCCTCCTCCATTTCCCATTACCAACAAGCAGGTAAAGCATTCTGAGTGACTGGGGAGGGGGCAGGGAAGGATTCATGCTGCTGCTGAGGTGGCTCTGGCCACTGTTCCACTCCTGGGGCACAGGTCAAGACGGGCAGAGGAGACTCTCCAACAGTACCTTGTTTATCCTGTGGCAATAGCTGGGAGCTGTTCTCTTGAACTTTACTCCTGGCACTGGATTCCTGCTCTTCTGACCATTCCACATTATCCCTGTGGTGAAAAAGGAGATGAACTAGAGCTGTAAAATGGGCAGAGAGAGAAAAACTGAGAGAGGGAGGGAGGTGTGATCCCCAATTCCAGCACAACAGCTGCCAGCACATGAGGCTCCTGGGCCTGGAGGAGCTGCACTCATGGGATTGTAAAGGAAGGGATCCTAAATCTGCCCCTGATCCTTTTCCCTCTTGGACACTCAGCCAAATTCAGAGGGAATAATCCTTCCTATAAAACCACCAGTGCACTCACAAAACTAAATTGGTTTTCAATTTAAAACAAAAAGGGCAGTGGGGTTATCTGGAAGGTAACTGTTAAATCCAATTATGAGGAAAATATGCAGGAAGCTTTAAAGCATTAAGAATTATTAATAACTTCAATGCACACACACAGCTGTGCAGTCATTAAAGTGATTCACTTGGCTTTTTTTCATTAAAACAAGTGAAAGGAAAGCAGAATACAAGGAGCAATAAACCCAGTTCTGGCCTCAGGAGAAATCAGCCTTTTAACTCACAAAACAAAAACTTAACTGTTAAAAAAAAAAAAAAAAAAGCTGGATTACTAAAAGTTTCCACGGGAAAATTGAGGATGTGCTTTTGTAATGCGCCTTTGGTACAGAACAGTCCCAAAAGGAATGACAGGCTGATACACGTAAATATTACCTTATTACAAGTGAAACACACCCAGTTCTTCACAGGGTATGACAGCCAGAGACCAAAAGTGGATCTATTTACTTCAAAAATGCAAAATACCTTCAGTTCCCAGCAAATTAGGCAATCTGGGTGCTTAAAACAGCTGCTGTACCCAAATAAAGAGCTCCTGTTCCAAGCACACACCCACCACAACCCCACAACTGATTCAACTTTATTAACTACAGCAATTAAACAACTGCAGCAAAGCAAAACAACACATCTCCTGAATCAGGGGAGACTGAGGAATCCCCAGTGCTGTGGGAGGAACCCAGAATGGCTCAGGACCCTCCTGGGGACCAGTTCCAAAGGGTCAGGACCCCCCAGGGACCAGTAAGAAGGCTCAGAACCCTCCTGGGATCAGCCAAAAATGGCTCAGGACCCCCAGGGAATCAGTCCCAAAGGGTCAGGACCTTCCTAGGATCAGCCAAAAATGGCTCAGGACCCCCCCGGGGATCAACCCCGAAGGCTCAGGACCCCCCCGGGGATCAACCCCGAAGGCTCAGGACCTCCTGGGGACCAGTTCCCAAGGCTCAGGATCCCCTGTGGATCAGCCCGGAAGGCTCAAGGCCCCCCCAGGGATCAGTCAAGAACGCTCAGGACCTCACGGGGATCGGTCCCAAAGGGTCAAGACCCTCGCAGGATTAGTCGAGAATGGCTCAGGACCCCCAGAGATCAGTCCCAAAGGGTCAGGACCCCCAGGGGACCAGTCATGAGGGCTCAGGACCCCCGAGCACCGCCCGCACAGGGCAGGGCCCTCCCGCCCCTCCGCCAGCGCCCAGCCCGGGGGCGCCGCTTCCCGCCCGGCTTCCCCTCGCTGTCCGGCGCCAGCCCCACGCCCACAGCCCCCCAACCCGCTCCGGGGGCGAGCGCGGACACCGGGGTCGGGTCCCCGCGGGCAGGTCGGGGCTGGGCCGTCACGCAGCGCTCGGCCACAGGCACCGCCAAGCGGGAGCGGCGAAGGCTCGCCCCGGGCGCCCCGCACGCACCAGGCGTTGTGCTGGAAGAGCCGCGCGGGGTCTGTGAGGAGGCGCTGCCCGAAGCGCCGCCGCTCCCGCTCCGCGCTGGGCGCCGCCATGACGGGCCGGGGCCGCCGCTTCCGCTTCCGGTGCGGCCCGACCCGAACGGGGACTGCGGGAGGGTCACGTGGGGCGGCGCTGAGCGAGACGGCGGGAAACGGCCCCGAAAGCGCCTTTGCTGGAGTTTAAACCGAATGTCACTGAATAATGGGGTGGGTTGGGTGGGGAGGGACATTAAACAACATCCAGTGACACCCGCTGCCATGGGCAGGGACACCTTCCACTAGCCCAGGTTGCTCCAACCTGGCCTTGGACACTTCCTGGGATGGGGCAGCCACAGCTTCTCTGGGAAATCCATTCCAGCCCCTCCCCACCCTCCCAGGGAAGGATTCCTTCCCAGTATCCCATCTAATCCTACCTTCTGGCAGTGGGAAGCCATTCCCCCTTGTCCTGTCCCTCCATCCCTTGTAAACAGTCTCTCTCCATGTTTCTTGTAGCCCCTTCAGGTCCTGGAAGGCCACAATCAGGTCACCCCAAAGCTTCTCTTCCCCAGGCTGCACAATCCCAACTGTCCCAGCCTTTCCCCCCAGCAGAGCTGCTCCAGCCCTCTGACCATCTTGGTGCCTCCTCTGGACTCTCTCCAACAGCTCCATGTCCTCCCTGTGCTGTTCCCCAGAGCTGGAGCAGTTCTGCAGGGGGGTCTCACCTGAGCAGAGCCCACAGGGGAACTCCCATGGGAAGCAGGGAATGAATTCTTTATTTTGCTTTACTTGTGTGCATGGCTGTTGCTTTCTGTGATAAACTTTTTCTCAACTCACGAGTTTTCCAGTTTTCACCCTTCCAGTTCTCTCCCCAATCCCACTGCTCTGGGGGGAACAAGAAGGATGGAGAGAGACTGTTTACAAGGACCTGGAGTGATGGGACAAGGGGGAATGACTTCAAACTGCCAGAGGGCAGGGTTAGATGGGATATTGGGAAGGAATCCTTCCCTGGGAGGGTGGGGAGGCCCTGACACAGGTTGCCCAGAGAAGCTGTGGCTGCCCCTGGATCCCTGGAAGTGTCCAAGGCCAGGTTGGACGGGGCTTGGAGCCACTTGGGCTGGTGGAAGGTGTCCCTGCCCATGGCAGGAGGTGGCACTGGATGGCCTTTAAGGTCCCTTCCAGCCCAAGCCATCCTGGGATTCTGTGGTTTTGTTCCTGGCTGAGATGTGGGCAGTGCCTACAAAGGAAAGCGCACGGGGAAACAGCTCTTGCTGAGTTTTGCGAGGCTCCTTTCTGCCACCCCCGAGGGAGCCCCAATCCATCCATCCGGGCTGTGCAGTCCCTGCGCTCCCGCAGCCAGAGGACAAAAGAGGGCGATGTTGGGCTGTGGAACAGCCCGGCCCCGCTCGGCAGCGGCTGCAGCCCCGCGGCTCTGCACAGACCCGGGGCCCGAGGGCTCCGACTGCCCGGGGCTGTGCCAGGCACGCGGTGGCAGTTCCAGCAGTGTCTCTGCAGGGCGGGGGGCGGCTCTGCAGGTGCCTTTGGGTGTCCAACCAGATCTAAAACATTCCTGGAAATACAATCTCGGGGCCCCCGTGTTTTGTATGGGTCGTTACAAAAGGCACAAATAACCCGGTAAAGGGGGGCTCTCCCCTCTCTGTCCCACAGAGCTGAGGCAGCTCACCTGATAATCTGAATCAGTTCTCCAGGGCAGAGCTGCCAACTCCACCCACTTCCCAAAAATTTGGAGGAGGAGGATTCAAATCTACAGAATTGAAGCTGCCTGAATCACTTTTCCCAGGGGCTGAAGAGGAGGAGGGTGGTCAGAGCTGTGACTGAGCTTTGTCCTACCCTCCCAGAGCCCAAAGGGAGCAGAGATCCCAGCAGTCCCAGAGCTGAACAAGTTATGCCATGGGGGTCCATCCCCACTTTTTGCTGAGTGCTGCCTGGGTTTCTGGCAGGTAGGACAATTCCCTGCAGTTTATCAATAGCCAAAGAAGGTAAAGTCAACTCCTGTGTCCCACGTGCTCTTGCAGCCAGGAACATCTGGAAAAAGGGGAAAAGTGAGAATCTGGGCTGACTTCGTTGGGCACAACCCCCCATCAGAGCATGATGCCTCTGTGGCACTTGGGGGTACAAAAATCGGGTACAAGACCCTGCTGAGACAGGGGAGGAGGATTTTACTGCTAGGGGGGCAACAAGTCCCTCACCACCAGAGACTCCTCCATGGTTACCCCATGTGGGTGGGAACCCACTTGCCTGGTGTTCACATCATGTCCTCGTCACCTGACACGCACCAGTCCAGGCATGCAGGAGCCTTTGAACTCATCTGCTGGTTTCCAGAGATTTCTAGGCTTCCTCCAAGGAAAAAGACCTCAGAACCTCCCCTTACCTCCCTGTGTCCTAAGGCTTCCAGCTTCCCCTTGCTGGGCAGGTGAACCCCTCTGGCTGTGGAGCCCAGGCTGGGGTTGAGGTCCTGGGTGTCACTTTTGTGCCCCGAGGAAGGGCCTGGGCAATATTTGAATGGAGCAGGGTGTGTTGCCAGCAGCAGGGACTGGCTCTCCAGGGAGATTTCAGGCCTTGGGAATGACAGTGAAAGGGCAGCCAGGGAGACACCACCCACAGCAGCCAGACTTGGCACCTCCAGTGGCTCTGAGGTCAAGTGGTTCTCCAACATGACCAGGTCAGAGCCCAGATTATCCACAGTGGCCGTGTCCTCTGTAACAAGAAAGTGTTGGAAAGCTCCTCTGCCTGCTGGCAGTGAGTGCAGAGAGACCTGCCAAAAAGAGGTTATTAATAATAATAATAGCGACTCCTTTGCCTTTCCCCCACTCCTTCCATCTCAGGATCTAAAGGACTGTAGCCACAATAATGCAGTGAAACTCCCTCCCCTCTGGCAGGGTGGGATGCTGAGGCCAAGGAGGATTAAATTCCCTTTCCATGGCCATTCATCACCCATCACCTCCCTCCACGCCACACAGACGTGTGACACCCTGTGCACAGACACACGTGGGCTGAGCAGGAGCTGCAGAGACCCAGAAGCCTCCTCGTGACAATGGGAAAAATCACAGAATCCCAGGATGGTTTGGCTTGGAAGAGACCCTAAAAACCATCCAGTGCCACCCCCTGCCATGGGCAGGGACACCTTCCACCAGCCCAGGTTGCTCCAAGCCTTGTTCAGCCTGGCCTTGGACACTTCCAGGGATCCAGGGGCAGCCACAGCTTCTCTGGGCACCCTGTGCCAGGGCCTCCTCACCCTCCCAGGGAAGGGTTCCTTCGCAATATCCCATCTAACCCTGCCCTCTGGCAGTGGGAAGCCATTCCCCCTTGTCCCATCACTCCAGACCCTTGGAAATATTCTCTGTCCATGTTTCTTGTTGCCTCCCTTCAGGCACTGGGAGGCCACAATTAGATCACCCCGAAGCTTCTCTTCTCCAGGGTGAACCATCCCAATTCTCTCAGCAGATATGTTTGAGGAAGGGGAGCCCAAATTCCAGCAAGGGTTTACAGGGAGTCTCTTGGCTGCAGCTTTAAATGTCTCACCCAAAGGCCAGTTTACAACACTGAGAACTCTCATATCCACAAAGGATTTAGTGACCTTAGAGAATCTCACCCCAAAACTGCTTCCCAAACCAGGGCCTTTTTGTCCAGATGTAGGCTGGATGTCCCATCTTTCCCCTCGTGGTGACACTTTCATCCCAGACTAATCCTGACTCCTTTACAGCCCTAGAGATCCCATAATGGATAAATCCCAGAGCAACTCAGCCTGATCTCACACCTGACCTAGCTTTGAGCAAGAAGTTGGACTAGAGACCTCCTGAGGTCCTTTCCAACCTGAATTATTCTGGGATTTTGTGCCCTAGGAAATGTCAGCTTTTTATTTTTAATTCCAGCTCTTTCTCCTCATCTTCCCCAGATCTTAATCTTCCTGCCCAGCAGATGCTCCAGATCCTGAACAAAGATCCCAAAGTGCCCATATATTCACCATCCACAGCCATGTCCTTCCAGTTCTGGTCTGGGAAGTGGATTTCCATTGGAATGGGAGATACTCTCTCCCAGCATTGACCAACTTCCCTAGAACCAGTGGGGAGATGTGTTTCACTTCAGAAAATGGGGGTATGGATGGCACAAAATGCACCTTAAACTGTCTCCTGGCTGCTTCAGGAGATGCATTCACTCATTTTGGGTTTATTTACAGAAATCAGTTTACAGAAGGAGTTGATGCATTCCTGGGCTCCAAGAAGAGGGAGCACGTCAGCACCTCAGGAATAAAAGTAGCATTTAAAAGAACCCTGGGACGAAGTGTTGCTGCAGGAGCTGTGTCTGTGGGGTGGGTTTCTGCGTGTTCCTGCTCCCTGGAAACCTCCACGGGGGAAGTGTCCCTCTCCAAAGCGGGATTTGGGCACTGAGCAGCCCAGAAAGCTGGAAAGTTCTGACAGAGCACATGCAGACATCACCATCTAGCGGTCCCCGACTCCAACAGCCTCCACGCAGCCCAAAATTTGCGCATTCAGCAGGGTTGGAGTTACTACTGCTCCCAGATGGCTCCTCCCAAGGAGCTGAGAGCAGCCACTGCCTCCACCCTTGTCCCACCTCTGGCTGCTCACACTCCTTTCCTCCGGCCAGCACAGCGACACTGCCTTGATTTTGGGGGGAAAAGCCACTCCAGACTCCCAACAGCTGCTTCTCATGGTCGTGGGGCTTGATCCTGCAAGCAGTCATGCCCAGTGGCATCAAGGGGCAGTGAACTGAGCTAAACTGGGGTCTTGTCTCATCCCACAGCTCCGTGGGAAAGGGAAGTCTTCTGCCTGAATGGCAGACATGGAACTGTAGGGGTTTCTCCAGTGGAAGCTCATCCTGCTCCTTCGTGTTGCAGCCAGGCTCTCCCTTCACCTTTCCCTCACCTCACCCCGTTGCCAAAATGCCCCTCCTGGGGTCAAACCCAGCTGAACCACCCCCAGCCCCAGCCCAGGTCCCACCTGGGTGCTGGACTCACACACCCAGCTCAGCTGGGGACACCGAGAGCTGCCCCAAGGTGCCTGCACACCCTGTGTGGGCTGGGGGCACCTGGTGGCCTGGGGTGTGTGTGTGGGGGGGATTGGAGAGCCAAGCAAACAGTTTTCCAGAACTTTCTGTGGTCCCAAAATGCTGGTTGAAGGGTGACCACAGCAGTGTGTGACATGGTGCCAGACTGGGTGCTGGGGGAACAGGCAGGACCCTGCTCCCAGGTTTAGCCCCTTCACCCCCTCCAGGTCTCAGCCGTCCCTGGGATGGTCCTGCAGTGGTCCCAGCCCAGCTGCCCTGCTCTGGGGGCTTCTCGTGCAGACTGGAGGGCTCACAGGGACCTGTGGGGCAGGATGGAGGTTACTGGAGCTCACCCCATTCCCTCACAGTGAACTGAGGTGCTGCCAGTACCACAGTCTGCAGTGGGCTCTGGCCCAGTGTGTGCCCCCCAGCTTGTTATCAACCCCCAGGAATACAGGAGTTATGGTGCAGAAACCCCTGTGAGGGGCTAACAGCCAGTGGGAACCACCCTTCAACCCACCTCAGCTCAAACCAGCTCCCCGAGTCACACTGGGGTGCCAGGGGCAGCCCATGGGGCAGGAAGGCTGGGCACAGGCTGCTGCTGGGGACACTGACACCATGAGTAGCCTGAGGGGTTTCGTTTTAGTTATTTTTATTTTTGTGGTGCGATTTGCTGCCGCTCTGGTGCCGCCCATCCACCCCCCTTCCCTGGGGCTCAGCCCCAGATCCCACCCAGCACCAAGCCCTGCCCCTGCTCCCACACTGCTGGGACAGCCAGGGGACAGGGACACAGGGCCACCACCAGCTCAGCCAACACTCTGCTGGGGCCCTCGGGGCAAACCCCACACCGGGCCCGAGGTTGCTGTTGGTTTTTGGGGCAGCTGAGGGGAATTGAGCCACTGTGCTCTGGCAGGGCAGGGACCAGGCAGCAGCACTGCTACAGCCAAGCTGGGACATCTCTTCGTGTTCCCCCACGGGTGACACACAGCCCCAGGCAGCAGGACACAGCCTGAGCCCTGCCTGCTCTGCTGGAACCCTGAGCTGTGCAGAAAACCAGGCAGGGTGCAGTTACACAGCTCAGAAAACACAGAGGGGAGAGAGGTGGCCAGGCCTGAGGGATAAGGGGCATCATGAGCCTCCTGAAGCTGCTGCCTGCACATCCATGTGGGCTGTGGCATGAGGACAGTGAGGGGGGACACGGGGAGCTCAGCACCATGCCAGGGGCTGAGCCAGGCTGTGGCTGGGACCAGCACAGCTGGTGCTACATGGAGGTGCTGGGGGTGCAAACCGAGTGCACGTGGGGGCAGTGAGGGAGGGCACAGCTTCTCACCACCCTGGCTCACAGCAGTGCCACAACACGGGGGTGCAAGGAGGAAAGGGGTTGCTGGGCTGCTCAGAAGCAGTGCCCTGAACCCACAAAGCAGTGATGGCTCCTGCCTGCTGGCAGCTGCCCTGTGCCCAAGGAGATGGCTCCTGTGCCCAGCGGGACTGAGTCCAGTGATCCGACGGGCAGGGCTTCACCGGCACGGGCCGTGGAGGAGAAAACAGCTCAGTGTGGTTTGAGTGGCCACTCCTGAAGTCCCCTTGGCCCGATGAGCACCAAAGAGTTCACAGACTGGCAGAGAAAGTCCCATTTCTCTGTGTCCAGTGTATGGAGGGGCCGCTGGCTCCGCGAGCGACCCGCGAGGTAAGGACAGAGGTTTGCCTGGAGAGCACGTCCCTGCAGTCACAGAGGGGTGATGGACAACACTTGGAGGGCCTGGAGGCAGTCAAGGGGTTGTTAAATTACACACAGACACGTTCACACAGGCTCACACACGCAAGGGCTTCTGTAAACTGGACTCCTTAAGGTTCCATGGATCCTTGGCTGATCCCACGGCCAGCACTGGGTGTGGCATCCTTAGTTGTTCCCCCGGTACGTGATGTTGGTGAAGGTGGATGTGGCCTCTTTATATAAAGGGTTGTGGGTCTGGAGGAAGAAGGAGGAGGAAAAAGAGCATCAACACTTTGTGCTTGGCATCACCATTCATTCTACTCAACACCTGGGAACACTGAGGCACCACTTCAGCACGGAGTGGTGGATCCCTGGCGTGGCTTTGGCTGTGCAGTTTAATGGCTCCCCATGGGGGAGAGCAGGGAAAAGCTGCTGTGGAGGAGAGGAAAAGCAGCAGGAGTTCAGCAGCAGAGAGACCTCCCGAAAGAGCCACCCCATCCCATCCCATCCCATCCCATCCCATCCTATCCCATCCCATCCCTTCCCTCTGTGGGAGGCAGGAGATGGAGAGGTGGGGGACGGGCACCAGTGCTGTCTCAACCCCCTCCCTGGTGCTCTGGATGCCTCAGTCCTTCCAGCATCCCATGGCAGGAGGGACCTTCCACTTTGCTCACGGGATGGAAACACTGGTGTGGGCAGTGAGTAAGGGGGTCACGCTGCTGACGACTGCTTGGGATATGCTGGAGGTGGGAAAATCATCTGGGACATCTGCTGTGGCCTGTGCACAGCGCTGGGAGCACAGCAGGCTCAGGGAGGGGTGTCCAGGCTGGCAGTGTCACCCCGAGTCCTGCCTGGGGCACTGTCAGACAGGGATGGGGCAGTCTGGTCCCTACGGGGCACAGACAGCAGCTGGGCTCTCCTGCTGGGAGCACTGGGATCTGGATCCCTCAAGCTGGGGGCTGTGGGATCTGGGGGCTCCTGCCCAGCACCCCTGACCCGCTGGCCCTCACCGTGTCCCACTTGGCCCTGGCCTTCTCCTCCTCGAAGCGGGCGAACTCCCGGCGGTCGTGGATGGTGATGAGGAGCTTCCAGATGAGCAGGGCAGCCAGGCCGATGAGCAGGATGGCCCCTGTCACCGAGAGCAGGACCACCAGGACGTCGGGCCCCTTCGGGCAGTCTGCAGCACAGAGCAGGGCAGGGTTGGAGGGGGCTCAGCACTCCCAGGGCAACTAAAAGCAGCTCTGGGGCTGCCTGGCCACGGGTACGTGGAGCTCCTCTGGGCCCAGGAAGGCTTCGTCCTCCCCTGGCAGGGAACAGGAGCCTCCCCCCTGAGCACAGCAGGCTCTGTGAAGGAGGATCCCATCCATGGGGTGCATGTGCTGAGATCTTTGAGCTCCTGTCTATAGGGTGAGGGTCTGCACCCAAGCGTGGAGCAATCCAGATCAGGGGCACCACGGGTCCCACCCATGGTGGGGGATGGCACCTGAGCCCAAATCCTTGTGCTGGTGGAAGCTCTTCCCCAAACCACCACCCTGCTGACCCCCTGCCCCTGCTCTCAGCTCTGCACCAACACCACGTTGGCAAACGGGGGTGGTGAGATCCCATGGGAGCCCCCACAGCCCCCTGCTCCCCCCAGCCCTCCCCTGCCTCTCTCCTCTCCACCCTGTGTGCAGGGCCAGGGAGGGTGGCTGGGGCTGCCTTCATGGCCCTGCTCCCGAAGGACCTGCAGCCACACAGCCCCTGGCTCAGCTGGAAGTCAGACCTCCAGGTCAGTGGAGACCCCGGGGCTGCCAGTGGGAGCCCCCTCTTATCTGCCTCCTAAGAACAACATCCCTGCAGTCAGACACGGATCAGGGTGGTGGGAAGGTTGAACCCCCATCCTTGGCCTCAACCGAGGAAATGTGAGACGTGAGAGGCAGGAAATCCCGGCCCCGGTGGCACAGAGCAGGGAACAAAGCAGCCCTTTAACTCCTCTCAGCCCCTGACTGCGGTGCCCCAGGAGCCTGGCTGGGGTGGGAGGTACAAAGGGCACTCGAAATCCCCCAGTTTAGCACAGAAACCCAGCACTGCACCTTCTCCATCCCCCACCTGAGCCGGGTCTTACCAGGCTCCTCGATGACGGAGAGGATGGACTTGCCACTGGAGTCCTCGTAGTACTGGAACCTCATCACGCAGTCGTTCTCGTCCTTGTAGGTGCAGTTCACGGCGTCCTTGCCCCTGTCACCTGCCAGAGTGAGAGTCTCAGACCCCCCCCATGCCACAGATGGGCACACAGAGGGAAAGCAACCCCCTGGATTTCCACAATCTAGGGCAGGTTTGGGTCTCCTCTTACTCAGTTCCTGCACCGTCTCGATCTCATCCCGGCACATGCGGCTGCAGGTCTGCTCCTCCACCAGCCTCCCCCGCTCGAACTTCTTGCACTCCACACAATCCCTGAGGAAGAGGAGGGAGGTGCTGTGAGCTCCTCTGTGCTCTCCTCAGAGGACCATCACACCTTTCAGTCACTGGTTGTGGAAATCACCACAATCCCAACCTAACAGGGCTGCAGCTGGTGGGAGCTCCTGCTGCCACTGCTGCCAGCTCCCCGATGGGGTGTGACCCATCCCAGCTCTCTGCTGGCTGCCCTATGGAATATCCCAGCTTTCTGCCAGCCCCCTGATGGGGTATGACCCATCTCAGCTCTCTGCTGGCTGCCCTATGGAATATCCCAGCTTTCTGCCAGCCCCCTGATGGGGTATGACCCATCCCAGCTCTCTTCTAGCTCCTCAATGGGATATGATCCATCCCAGCTTTCTGCTGGCTGCCCTATGGGGTATAACCTTTCCCAGCTCTTTGCTGGCTCCCCAATGGAATATGACCCATCCCAGCTTTCTGCCAGCCCCCTGATGGGATATGACCCATCCCAGCTCTCTTCCAGCTCCCCAATGGGATATGACCCATCCCAGCTCTCTGCTGGTTCCTCAGTGGGATATAACCCACCCTAGCGCTCTGCTGGCTCCCCAGTGAGATACGACCCTTCCCAGCACTCTGCCACATTCCCAATGGGATATAACCCACCCCATCCCTCTGCCAGCCCCCTGGTGAGATATGATCCATTCCAGCTCTCTTCCAGCTCCCCAGTGGAACATGATCCATCCAGCTCCCCTCCAGCTCCCCAGTGGGATATAACCCACCCCATCTCTCTGCCAGCCCCCTGGTGAGATATGATCCATTCCAGCTCTCCTCCAGCTCCCCAGTGGGATATAACCCACCCCATCTCTCTGCCAGCCCCCTGGTGAGATATAATTCCAGCTCTCCTCCAGCTCCCCAGTGGGATATAACCCACCCCATCTCTCTGCCAGCCCCCGCCGTGGCACGAGCTGCCCCAG